CAAAATTTGAAGATTGATTGTTGTAACTGCCAAAATCATCATAGCTTCCACCACCTCCAAAATTGCTTCCATCATTACCAAACCCGTTATAGCCATCCCCACTGCCACCATGTCCACCACCACCGCGGCTGCCACCAAAGCCACCTCAGCCACTGAAGTCTCCTCCGCGACCAAAGCTGTCACTCCCACCAAAACCCCCTCCACGACCACCACCAAAGTTTCCAGACCCACTTCGGCCTCTTTGGCTGGATGAGGCACTAGCCATCTCTTGCTCAGATAGGGCTTTCCTTACTTCACAGTTGTGGCCATTCACGGTGTGGTATTTCGGACTGACAGTCTTGTCTACAGAGTCATGGTCATCAAAGGTTACGAAAGCAAAGCCTCTCTTTTTGCCAGTGCCTCGATCAGTCATGATTTCAGACACTTCAGTTTTCCTACACTGTTCAAAATAATCTCTTAGATGATGTTCTTCAGTGTCTTCTTTAATGCCACCAACAAAAACCTTTTTCACACTTAAGTGGGCACCAGGTCTTTGAGAGTCTTCTCTTGAGACGGCCCTCTTGGGCTCCACAACTCTCCCATCCACCTCGTGTGGCCTTGCGTTCATGGCCGCATCCACCTCCTCCACAGTGGCGTATGTGACAACACCGAAGCCTCTGGAGTGCCTGGTGCTTGGATCTCTCGTCACCACACGGTCTGTGCACACTCCCCACCGCTCAGAATGCCTCCTCAGGCTCGCGTCGCTTGTTTCAAAGCTCAGACCTCCGACGAAGAGCCTCTGCAGCTGTGCGGCTCTTTGGGAGACCCTGACTTAGACCTGACGGCAGTGCGGGGGGGTGGGGCGAGACGTCAACGATGCGTTACTCGGCGGCGTCCACGGGCAGAAAGGAGTAATCTACCGAACGTATCCCTGGTATCATTTCTAGCGTGGAGCTTCTGGGTCCCCTCACAGCATAGCTGCCAAGTACACAGCTGTCAGGTACATTGAGATGTGTAGAAATTTGGAGCAAGACTTCACCTCTGTCAGCAAATAAAGATCTTCCCGATAAGGCCTCATCCCTTGTTTTGATAGAGTTGATAGACGTTCTCTTGCTACTACGTTTCCACACAGCTGGACTGTGAGGACAGCTCCCGGGAAGCTGAGACAGGATGGGGCTCCCCGTGCAGGCAGGAGGCTGGGGTGCCACGGTTTAATAAAAGGACAGTGTCTGAAATATTTCTCTTCTGTTTCTCCTGGGCGCCTGTTAGGGCTGGGGGTAGACGTGTGGTAACAAGGTGAATGAGGGGTTGACGAGCTGCTCCTGCATCCAGCGTGGAGCTTGGTGTTCGTGTGTGTGTGTGTGTGTGTGTGTGTGTGTGTGTGTGTGCGCGTGCGTGTGTGCGCGCGCGCACGCATTTGTGTGAGTGATCATCCCCCTTCCTTGCCGTGTTTGTACTTCTGCCTGTTTCACGCTGTAGTCGTCATCTCCTGCATTCTCTGTGAGTGTACTGACTGTCCCCAGGGCGTCCAGGCTGTCGTGCTAGACAAAGAGTAGAAAGAAATCTACCATCTTACCACTTAAACACCATGACAAAGGGTTTAGTATATTTTCTCCCATTTTCTTATTGAGATGTAACTTGGGAGTCTGTGTGGTTTTTAAGCAGTTGTAGTCATACTGTGTATATAATTTCACTTTTTCATATCCTTCATTTTTTTCAGCACAATGATAATTTTTCTTATAACCAGTTTTTTCTTTAAATGGGATTGTCAAATACTCAGATTTAATAGATGAACATTTGTGCCCAGCTTTTAACTGTTATAAACATGCTATATTACATAGCCTTGGACATAAAAGTTTGCACACCTTAGTGAATCATACTCTTAAATTTCTGCGAGTGTAGTCACGCCATAAAAAGAAATGCCCACTTACGATTCAGAAAATAAATTTCCAGGCCGCTCACCCCAGGGATTGCTCCATTTCACCCATGACCATCAGTGTCCGAGGGTGTCTGTTTGCCTCACCTCGCTCTGTTCAGGGTGCTGGAGGGCAGATGCCCTCGGGACCCTCGGTCCTGGGCCCCACTGCAGAGTGTGTGCAGTTGCCATGGCAAGCACTGTGACATCCACAGAGCATGTGGCCTGTGTGAGAAGGGACCGTGGACCGAGCTGTCATGGGGTGCTTCCTGAGCCAGTACCCTTATATTCCAGAGCCCATTAAGAGGGTGAGTGAAGGGAGGACGGACCCCCCCTGAAGTTGCAGGTAGGAAGGTGGGTGTCTGGGGTTCGACACCCTGGAGCAGAGGCTAGGGGTTGCAGAGCAGAAGGTCCCATGTGGTTCAGAGATGTGATTCATTTGGGCTGCAAAATCCAAAGTCTTATTAGTCCCTGAGTGTTAAATTTTGGTTCGTCGCCAGTATCTAGAATGAGACTTCATGTTGAAACCCAGTTTGTAGCTTTTAGAAAGCATCTAAGACACTGATCAGCTGGAGGGAAGACAGGGCCCCAGCCTGCCTGGTGGCTCTCGACGCAGGGGCTGGTTGTCGCTCTGCACCTGTGGGGCTCGCTTGGCCCACCTGCTTACCTCTTTGCCCTGCTGTCTCCGGCAGGCGCAGCCGCTCGGGGAATCCTGCGGCCACAGCACAACAGGAGCAGGAGCCCGGTAGGCCTTGTAGGCTGAGCAGCGAGTCCGGGGGTGTGATCCTGAGGGCAGGGCGGGCGGGGGATCGGATCAGGCCTGAGGGCAGGGGCGAGCCCATCATGAAGGCCTGTTAGAGGGTGAAGGGGATGACCTGGAGTCTCCTGCATGACAGGCTGTCTCTCCAGCCTTACTGCGCACATTCGTGGTTTGTGGACTTGAGTTTCCTGTTACATACTTAGGCCGTGTCTTCCATGGGTGTGTTGGTTGATGATCAAGCACAAGAAATGCCCATTTAAAATTTGTGGGGCAGGTGTCGCACGCCTGCCTTCTGTGTGACGGTGGGGATGGGGGCCAGGCTGCGGTTGAAGGTCTGAATAGCTAGAGTTGGCTCATACCATCTATGGAGTAGAGCTTCCCTTCCCTGTTGGCAGGTGGTGTCTATTTGACATTTTACCAGGTTTTTGACACATGAGAATCCACTCGGCTGTTCCTGGCTGTACCTGCCAGTCTCTTTTGGCTCTGATACCATTGCTCTTAACTAATCCTGCTTGTTAGTTCTTCCAGAAAGTGATATAATCTTGTCATATTCCATAAGGAATCTCCTTATTTTGATTAAAGTCCTTATGTTGTGGGACTCCCCTGGTGGCACAGTGGTTAAGAATCTGC